GCGGGCAGGCCGGGCGGGAGGAGGCGCGGGCCGGCTCGGGTTTGGGGTTGGGGGAGGACAGTCCAGTGTGGGAAGCCGGGAGCTGCCTGGTTGGCAATGCAGTGGGGAACAAAAGACTGAGGGAGAGAGGGAGGGGGAAGTTTGGGGGACTTTTAGGACTGAAGTTTTGCTGCGCTGGGTGGAAGCTGCTCTTGCTTTTCCTAGAGGATTCCTGGGCAAAACTCCCCAGATCCCAGAGAATCCTGCAGGCGGGCGAGGAAGCTTTTCCTTCTGCAGGAAACTTTTCTGGCCCAACTCCGTGTGTGTGTGTGTGTGTGTGTGTGTGTGTGTGTGTGTGTGTGTGTGTTCTTCCCCTTCCTCCTGCTCCGATGAGCACTGGCATTTGCCAGCCTGTCTGTCCTGGGGCTGCACATCTGTCTAGGTTCGCTTTCTCAGGCCTGCATCTCCTGAGAAAAGGTCTCTCTCTCGCCACCCCAGCCCAGCGGGAGAAGAAAATGTTCCTTGGGGTCCCCTGAGCACTTGCTCTGTGGTATCCCTTGATCTTAGCCAGCAGCAGCAGCAGTAGCAGCAGCAGCAGCAGCAGCAGCTTCCTGGGACTCAGAAAGCAGCTGTCAAAGTCAGAGAAGCCAGCCCAGGAGGGGTCTTACCTATGCCCCAGTGTGCCAGGAGGAGCCTGCCAAGGCCAAGTGGGGGTGGAAAAGGGGACACAAAGAAAATTCAGATACTCCATACCAGCCCTTTCATGCCACAGACACCAGAGGCCACTTGGGTTAGGGCCCGTGAGTGTGTGTGTGTCTGTGTGTGTGTGTGTTTTACATAAACCTTTCACTCCTGCTAGGACCAGAAGGGTCCTGTCCCTGGAATGACCAGATGGCCAGGCACTCAGGCCTGAGCAGGCTGCCTGGGATACACAGGAGACAACGTATCAGAACTTTTCCTCGACTTCCTGCCTCTGACTTCAGTCTGTCCCCAAGGAGCCAGAGCCAAGAGCAGAGTCCTAGTTCCTAGAACTAGACACCAGGCGCTGGGGGAGGACACTGCTGTCCTGGCCCTGGGGACCTGGTGAGGGACTCTCCTTGTCCTCACTCCCTCTTTGGGTGGCTGGGTCACAGACAGGAAGAGGAGCCCCTCCACTGAAGACAGGAAAAGCCGCATCTCTCAGCCCTTCCCCCTCCACACCCGCTGAGTTGTGGGCAAATCAGGACGTGAGCTGTCATCTCTCTGACTGGGTGGCAAGAGGCAGGCAGAGCTAGCTTTCAGACCTGGACTCATTAGCCATCATCTCTGCATGTCGGTTTCTCACCTGTGGAATGGGTAACATGTCTTTCCATAGAGCCGATGATGAAGACTAAATCTGAGAACATGTAAGAGACTTATTAGCACTTAGCACCTAGTCCTAAATAAATGTTGGCCGTCTACCCCTGTGTTCTGTGCCTGTGTTGAGTCTCCTTTTTTTCCCTTTTTTCTTTTTTGAGGGGGTGTGGGACTGATAGTTTGTTTTGTTTTGTTGTGTTTTGAGCCAGGGTCTCACTCTGTAGTTCAGGCTGGTTTTTGAACTCACTGTGTGGCCCAGGCTGGCCTTGAACTCAAGTCGATGCTCCTGCTTCAGCCTTTCATTGGTGTTGGGATTATAGGCATGTGCCACCATACCCAGTGACACTTCTTTATTTATGTATTGGCTTGGTTCTTAGGAAAAACTAATGTCTCCCTGACCCTGTCTTTGTGTCACTGATCTATTCTCTGAGATGATTTGCAGTTTATGGGAGCCCAATGGGTCCCAGCCCTGGCCTTGATGTTGCGAGAGGTGCAAAGAGGTGCCAGGCAGGCCTCTGCCCTCAAGGAGCTCACAGTCCACCAGGGGCCCATGGGCACACAGAGGCACCCCCACACACACACCCCCCCACTCCGTGCAAACCAAGGTGTGTGAGGTGCCACACTGGAGGGTAGGGTGCCCTTTGTTCCCTCTCCCACCCTAGTGGTGCCGGATGGTTTGAGCAGAGTGATCCTAGGAGGCTAGGAAGGTTCTTCCTGGAGGAGGGGAGCAGGGGCAAGGCCTCTAAGATGGGAAGGGAGCCATGCTGATGAGAGTGATTTGGGGAACAGGGAGGCTGAGGGCGCTCTCCCGTGTCGGATTTCATGCTGGGTGCGGCTGGCTGAGTTGGAACTTCAAACAAGTCCTCTGGAGAAAGCTTTCCACCAGGGTGAAGGGAGGCTGGTGGGGAGCAGGGTCAGGCCCTGGGGTGGCTGAGAGGGCCTGAGTGCCTGACAAGGCCAAGCTTCAAGGTCACATCAGGCTCCTTCTTGGGTATAATTGATGCTTAAGGCTGTGGCCCATCCCTGGAGGAAACTTGGACCTGAGTTCCTGGACAAACACACAGACACAGATACACACAGACACACCAACATCCTGTCTGCTGAGGCTGGGCTGCTGCTGGAGGTGACCATGGCAGACTCCTGCCTCTGCTTCCTTTGGATGTGGCTGGGGTGCCTGCTTCTCCAGCTCTCTCCTGTCTTTATCCCCCACCTGCACCCAGGCCTTCACCGAGCATCCCTTTGACTGACCCATTTACCTGTGATGGCTCAGGTTGCTGTGAGGCTGGCCAGCCCCGTCATTTGAAGTTATCCGTGGCCATTACTGTTAGAGTTATGGTTACTTTTGCAGTAAGGGCAAAATTAAGCCCATTGATTCCCTGGAGAAGGTCTGGACCTTCCGGGCAAGACCAGAGCAGTGGCAGGAAGCCAGGCTGGTCTGTGGCTGTGCTCAGAGCCGCCCCCTCAAGCCTGCCCTCTAGAGGGAAATTTTGAAGTGTCTGGATTTTCTGTGTGCTGGCATGCTGAGCCATGGATGGGGTCTTCCTTGAGATTCTCAGCTTTGCCAGTGACCCTTGGAGAGACCCTGGGGGTAGGAATTAGGGTACAGTGGGCCCCACAGACAGAGAAGCCCGTGAGCCTGCAAGACCCTTGTTTCCACCTCCCAGCCAGCAGCTCAGAGGTCTGCAGGAGTGTTGGTCAACATCCTTACCTTGGGGGCCTCCTGGCCCTCACGTGGCTTTCGGGGGCCTTGAAGGATATAGGCTGTGGAAATGGAACACAATCTCTTCTCTCACCAAACCACATTCCCCCTTCCAGACATTCAGAGTGAGTCACCCCACCCACCTAGGCCCCTGTTTCCTGAGTCACCCTCTCTTTTAGGTGCCCGTAGGGAGAAGGAAAACACTTAGAGTCTCCCTGTGCTCTAGATGATCTCACTGATCTCTTAAGAATTCTGCTTTGCTTAGCCAAGGATGGTGGCACATGCCTGCAATTCCACCCAGCATGCTGGGAGGCTGAGGCAGGAGGATCACAAGTTCAGGTGGGACAACTTAGCCACTTAGGGAGATCTTGTCTCAAAAAAAAAAAAAGGAAATAAAGGGACTGGAGATGGTGCTCAGTGCTAAAGCCCTGGGTTCAATTCCTAGTACTGCAAAAAGGAAAAAAAAACAACCTGTTTATCCAGATACTTGGGAGAAAATATTGAAGGGAGAGAAGGGGCAGAGAGTACAATGGGCCAGTCCTCACTGAGGACCTCATAAGGAAGGATCTGCAGGTGGCTCAGCTGTCTTCTTGCTCCTTTGCTTGGTTGCTCAGTTGGGCATGCGGGCACATACCCCTCTCCATTTCCTTTATGGAACGCCACAATTTGCACAGGAGAGTGGGTGGTAGGTGTTTGCGCATGCTCGTGGGTATGCTCTTGCTTTGTGGCAGTTCCATTCACCAATGGGCATTTTTCTACATTATAAGTGACAGTGCAGGGGCTGGGGATTAAGCTCAGCGGCAAAAGCGCCTGCCTGGCAAGCGCAAGGTTGTGAGTTCGGTTCCCGGTACCAGAGAAAAACCAAAAAAAAAAAAAAAAAAAAAAGTGACAGTGCAGATGTGTACCCGTGTGTAAATGGACATGTGATGAAGCCCATTCTCATGTTCTGGTGACTTGCATGTGTCCTCCCCAGCTAGAAGCCTGCATTTATGCAAGGGGACATGTGTCTGACCTGTCACACCAGCCAGACTCTGCTCCCTGCCCCCTCAGAAGGGAAGGCCTTGCTGTGCCCTGGGCGAGGGGATTCAGAGTCCAGAGACTGACCCAGGGACAAAGGTCCTCCCCAGACCCAGGCTCATGATGTGGCTCTTTCTCTTCCTGTTCCGGGCCTGGCTATGGAGCAGCCACGAGTGCTTCTGGCTGGTTTACAGCTGGAAAACAAAACAAAAACGTTTTGATCCTATGTTGAAAACAACTACTACCCTGATTCTGATCATAACTCTGACCCTGATTCTGACCCTGACCCTGGGACTACCTCTTCCAGATTTCCCAGCTTCCCCTGGTTGGGATCCCAAAAGGGCAGGCCCTCAGGCCTAGCTCCTGGCCTTAAGACTCTGCTGCCCACCCCACCCCACCCCACCCCACCCCCAAGCTGTTCCCACGCATTCTTCAGCCATGACATCCCCGCCACAGGACGCCCGCTCCGGGCTGAACTCCTCAGCAAGGCCTTGTTCTGCCTTCCGCCTGCCCCTGCCCTGGTCCCACAGGCCAATAGAGCTCTGTAGACTCTGTCATTGGGATTCCCTCAACTGGGAAGTGAGCGGGGGAACCAGGAAGATACAGAGCTGACTTAGAGCTTCTGGGATCAGGATTGACATTGGGGTAATGCTGAAGTGGTCACTTAGCGGGTGATTACAGTGCTGCAGGCCTGGTGCTCCATTTACATGCCTTATTTTGGGCATTAGCCTTAGGAGCCCAATTCTAGCATCAGGCCTCTTTTACACAAGAGAAAATCAGGTTTAGTAGAGTTTATATGACTTGTTAGCTAGCAGTACCTGAGTTGGGATTTAGACAGGTCTGACACCAAAGACCTTGCTCTTTACTGACTGTCCAGAGATAATCTAGATGTCCAGCCACACACGCACAAATATCCTGGGGCCCCACAGCCACAGATTCAACCAACCATGGCTCAAAAATATCTGAGAAAACTGTGTCTGTACTGAACAAGTACAAACTTTTTTTTTGTTATTATTCTCCAAACAATAAAGTATAATTATTTACATAGCATCAGTGTTAGGTTAGGCATTATAGTCATCCAGAAATGATTTAAAGTATACAGGACAGGACGGTATGAGGAGGGTCTGCAAACCCTACCTCCTTTTAAATAAGGAACTTGAGTATCCGTAGAGCTGGGTATCTTCCCACAGAGACCAAGGGATGGCTGTGTATGGCGATGCCTGGGAGTGTGGGTGTGGAAGCCTGAAGATGCAGTGTGTGTGCAACGGTACAAAGTGTGCACAAGTATGGGGGCAACCATGAGACACACACCCGCATGACTTTGGCCCATTTGAATCCACCCCCATATCCCCCGGAGCATGCCTCCAATCCTGAATCGTCACTAAGGCCAGTCTTGCACGTCAGCTGGGAAGCATCCTCTGCTTCTGTCTCATCAGTTGCTAAGCGAAGACCTCAGAGGGTGGTGGCGTCAGGGAGGCATTTCTCATGGAGTGGAAGAGATGCTGGACCAGTTACAGGCTATTGATGTTGAACATGTCATTTCCCCTCTTAGGCCCAAGGGTTCTGATCTCTGGTGTCAGGGAGGTGGCTGACCTGTAGCCAGAGTTTATCTGGATGTTTGTAATAGACATCCCTAGGCAAAAGCTTGGGGGAGAGTGTGTCTCACTGTGCTGGGCATGCCGTGGGCGGGTGGGGATTAAGTGGACTCGTTAATGTGAGAGCACCTTGTCAACTGGAAAGCACTCCGTAAATCCCAACAGACATTTACATAAGTTGTCATTATCCCTACTATTATTGGTTTAATGAGTTCAGAGCTTGCCGCTGCTTTGAGTGTGTGGGAGCTTATGCCCGTGTGTTTTTTAGGACCGTCTGGGACTGTATGAGTATTTTTTGTGGATCTGTGTCTGGCTGAGTGTCTATTTTTGTGTATGTATATTTATAATATGGGTTCTAGAGAGATAATGAACTTGAGTGTGGTGATCACTGGCCTCGGAATGGAAAGGCCTGAGTTCTAAATCAAGCCTTTCCAGTTGACCAGCAGTGTGGTCTCAGTTCAGTCAGTTCCTTTCTGGGCCTCAGTTCCTCCATGGAAGATTGGCGAGGTGACTGCTAATGTCCCTCCCACATTGCATTGCTCTGCATCTTGGCTAGTCCAGTGTGTGTCTCTGGGCTCCATCCACATCCCTTATTTTGGGCAGTAACCCTAGGAAACCAATTTTAATATCAGGCTGGAAGAATGCTAGTGCGGCACTTCATTCATTCAGACATCAAGAGCCTTTTACCCGAAAGCCCCTGGAGGTACAAATGTCTCACCTTGATGGCTCTGCGTTTGATAGCCTGGGTGTGGCTGTCACTGCATGACTGTGGGAACACTAACTACATGTGTGTGATTCTGTGTGTGATGAAGTAATATATGTGTCCCCTCCCCTCCAAGAGGCCAACTAGGGAGGAGGAACCTGCGTGTGAGGCCTCAAGGTTAAAGCAAGTTTGTGTACAGCCCATCGCCTGGCCTGCGCAGCGCTCTGTAGGATGAGAAGCAGATGTCATCAGGGATGGGGCTGTGGGGAGGGGCGGCTGATCCTGTTCCATCTCCAGCTCAGCTTCCCATCTTCCCCAGCCCAGCCGGACATGAAGCTCACATCTGGGCTCCTTTCAAGCGGACAGTTCTATGGCTCTGCTTCTTTTGCTGCAGAATCTCAGAAAGAACACAGGTTGTGTAGCTCATCTCTCCACAAACACCTCTCCCCAGGGCCAGCACTGGGAGCCTTTTCCTGCTAGCGGGAAGCACCTGAATGTGTCACCTGGCCTGTGCCTAGCGTTACTGTCGCTTATGGGCATCTGAGGCACTTTCCTGCACTGTAGATCCTCCCCTTGATTTGACTGAAATGGCGTTGCTGTGTGCACACAGCATGCTGAGCAGAGTGCCAAGGTTATGGGCACACAAGTAGGCTGTGCTAGCTTTCCATTATTATGACAAAATGCCTGAGATTGTTGACTTAGAAAGAGGAAAGGGTTATTTGGCTCACAATTCTGGAGTTTCCAGTGCAGGATAAGCAGATGGGGGACATTGTTTTGGGCCTCTGATGAGGCAGCACACCATGCATGAGTCCTTGGCAGAAATAAACCACTCACCTCATCAGCCAGGAAGGCAAGAGTGGAAGGAGGGGCTGAGGTCCCATAATCCCCTTCAAGGCCATGCCCTCAGTGATGTAAGGACTGCCCGTGAGATGCCACCTCCAGAAGGTCCACAGCATCTCCCAGCAGTATCACCCTGGGGACCACACCTGTAACACAGGACCTTTGGGGACAATTTGTAAACCATGGCAGAGACCCTCTATCATCTCACCCCTTTTTATTTTCCTCAGAGCCTTGCCACTGTCTGGAATTCTCTGAGTCAGTGTTTGTTTCCTTGAGTACTGTTGAAGCTCAGCTCCCTAGGCACAGGGAGCTCTTCGTGTTGCTAGTCTTTGGGAGCATGTGTAACCACAATAAGAGCTAAGTATTTGCTGAAAATGATGGAAGAAATGACACAGCTGTGTCTTCTGGAGCTCACAGCTTGGTTGGGGCTGGGTATCCGCTTGGCTTGGATTATATTTTATTTTACTTTACTTTTTGTGGTGGTAGAGATTGAACCTAGGCTCTGCACTGAGCTACACCCCATGCTCTATTTTATTTTACTTTTTTTTTAAGTGACAGCATCTTAACTATGTTGCCCAGGCTGGTTTTCAGCCCCTGGGCTCAAGTGGCCTCAGCTACCTAAGTAGCTGGGACTGTAGACACATGCCACCATGCCCTGCTTTTGCTAGAATTTCAACTAGAAAGTGAGCATGATCTCCCAAGAGATTCAAGAGCTGATCCCTTACTGCCTTTCTTCTGCCAGTGGCATTTGAGGGCAAGGTTGCTGTGGGGACAGGGGATATGTGTCAAAGGGGCTAGGCTGTAAGCACAGTACGCCTAGTCCAGGTAAGAGGATTAACTCAGCCCCTGGCCTCTTCTTTTTTTCTCCAGCTGCCTTTCTTGGGGACATTGCCCTGGATGAGGAGGACTTGAGGGCCTTCCAGGTGCTGCGGGCTGCAAATCTCAGACAGCATACAGCTCGTAGATCATCCATAAATAAAACTGCAGGTACACTGGGGATGGGCCAGCCCACTGTGTCCCAGAAACGAGTTCCAGACTTGAGGAAACAAGGAACCACCATGTTCCCAGCCATGTCCTCCCAGGACAGAGCCCATAAGCTTGAACATAGTGCATGGGCGTGTCTTCCCTTGGGATGTCTCTGGCCCTTCCCCGACAGGAGAGGAAAGTATAGACAGCCCTGGGAGCTAAGAGCTGAAATCCTTTCTGCTTATGCCTTACAAAATTCTTCCAAAAGTATTAATCTAAGCTTGACCGTCCCCTACCACCTTCAGAGGTATGTGCCCGGACAACTCCTGTTCTGACCCCTGTCCCAACCCCTTTCCTGACCCGTGTTTTAAGCCACGTGGAAGTAAAGTGACTTGCCCAAGATCATGCAGCTTATTGGTGCCAGGGCTGGGACTAGAACCCAGACCTTCTCTTTCCAAATCCAAGATACTGTATCCAGCATTGCAGTCCCTCCATGGTCTCCTGGTCCCATTTTGCAAGTGTCTGTGCATCCTCTGGGGCCCATCTCAGGGGCTTCTTTTTGAATTTGCCCCTCTGTGCCCTAGACATGATGGTACACCTGCACTTTCCAGCCTTCTGCTCAATGCCTACATTGTTATATCTCACCATGCCGTATGGAAATGAGTTGTTTCCATCTCCTACCTCCCTGGCTGGACCCAAAGTTCTTCAAAATCGGGGTGGGACCTTCTTTTCCCTGGTGGCCCAGCTACCTGACAATCGATGGGGTGCTGGTGCAGAGTAGATGCAGGATAGGGGGTGCAGAGGGACCCAAGCTTGTCACCCCCATGCCAAGGCTTGGCGTGCAGTCTAGTGAGCCCTTGTGGTGCTCACCTGTTGCCCAAAGGGAGCTCTCCTATTGCCCACCCAGGGCTGCTTCTGGCCCAGACCGGTGTGCCAGGCAGTCGTCCGGTTCTGCAGGAGGGAGGATTTTGGTATGGGCAACCGGGGGAATAAAGGTCAGCTAGCCCAGGGGGAGCTGGCTCAAGAGGGTAACTTGGTGAACTGGTGACAAGCAAGACTTAGGTGGCCCTAGTGGGGACTAGTAGGCATGGCACAGGGGAAGGCCACATGAAGAGTCTGCTGTCCATGCAACAGGTGACTTTAAGCAAAGCTTTGGCTTTTGTCTCCTCATCTGTCCCATGTAAGTGATAACGTATGTCCACCTCCCATGGAGCTGCAGTGTCACATGAAAGTGTGATTCTGAGAAACTCCCAGAAAACATGGTTCTGTACATTCTGTAGATATCAAGATGAGAAGATATACTAGATGAGAAGGGACGTTTCCAAGTCTCTGATCCCACGGTCCCCACAGTTCCTAGGAAGTGAATATCTTCTCTGTTTCTTTTGCAGTTTTAGCCTGTTTTTGCCATTTGAGGTAGTTATGAATAGTTATGGCATAACTTCATGGTTCTGTAGAACTAGTTATTCTCTGAAGTCACCGTGAACACTGAGTTAGTGAATGCCGAGCTGTTGCTCTTGGGGGCAAATGCAGGCTCCCACCAGCCTCTGGGAAAATTTTTGTCAACTGGTCACTACATAACCATGTTTTATGTGGGTTTCATTGAAGGACAACTTATTTAATACATAGTTGATTCATTAACATTGAACTTACAGCCAAGAACACTGATTTAGCCTGAATAAATTTATCTAACACATGTATTTCTCTGCGAAACATCCCAGCCTACTTGCCCTTGGGATAAACATTTCAGGACCAAGTGTAGGATCCATTTTGTTTTTATTTCTTTCCTTCCTTCCTTCCTTCCTTCTTTCCTTCCTTCCTTCCTCCCTCCCTCCCTTCCCCTCTCCCCTTGCCTCCCTTCCCTCCTTCTTTTGTTTCTTTCTTTTTCTTATTTTGCTCTTCCTGGGGCTGAACCTAAGGCCTTTACACTGAGCTAGATCCTTAGCCCTTGTTTATTTGTTTACTGTGGATTGAGGATTGAAGCCAGGGCCTTCCTACTGAGCTACTTCCCCAGCCCTTTTATTTTTTATTTTGAGACAGGAGTCACTGAGTTGCCCAGGGTAGGCTTAATCTGTAATCCTCCTGCCTCAGCTTCCCAGAGTGCTAGGATTATAGGCATGCACCACTACACCTGGGGAGCCATTTTACATAGGAAAATCATAAAAAAGCAAAAAATGCAAAAAGACAGTGTCACTCCGTATACCTCAAGAAGACACTTGTATGCAATAGGAGAGGTGGAACACGCAGGCAGTGTCACCTTGTTTAGCCCCAGTGGGAAGGGGCAAATTGGACCACTCAGCATTTTTACTGCTCTTCGCATGCTCACAGATGAACGTGAAAGCCCTGAGAATATTGATTTGGGCTTAGAAATAAATTTTAGCAAATAGGCAAATTCAGAATTCACAGGTAACAGTGCTCTGATATACTTTGTACCCGATACTCACTCGCTGCCAAAGCCTTGCTCTTTCAATTCCAGGAAACTCCTCTGCCCCCGACGGCCAGAGCTCTAGTGGGCAGCCTCCGAGGGAAACCCCGGAGAGATGGAGGGGCAGGCCCCGCAGCCGGAGGGCAGCAACGTCCAGGCCAGAGCGTGTGTGGCCCGATGGGGTCATCCCCTTTGTCATTGGGGGAAACTTCACTGGTGAGTGCCATCGTGGGGCCCCGGGTGCAGCCTGCAACCAGCTCTGGCCTTGCGACCTTGGGTCTCTCTGTCCATGGGTTCCTGTCCTGCAGTGTGCCCTCAGCATGGCTGTGACACCTTAGCAGTGGGTGGAGATGGGCCACCTGGACACCAGGACAGCTTGGCTTCCTCCCTCCTCGCAGGCAGCCAGAGGGCAGTCTTCCGGCAGGCCATGAGGCACTGGGAGAAACACACCTGTGTCACCTTCTTGGAGCGAACCGATGAGGACAGCTACATTGTGTTCACCTATCGACCCTGCGGGTGAGCACGGGCCCCTGGGCACTGTGCACCCTCACCATGATCCCACCCAGGTTCTGTCCCGGGCACTGCCACTGCCCCGCCCCCCACTGGGCACTGTTCTGGGTCATCCCATTTCCTCCTGCCACAGGGCATGTCCCGGTGCTGTGACCCTGAAGCCCAGCATACAGCCTGGGCTTGGAAGAATCAGGGCTCTCCCCACCCACCCCTCCCACCCCCCTGCTGCCCCACCCCGGCAGCCTGGCCCGGCCCCTGAGTGGATGCACTCCCCCAGCTCGGGACCGCCCCCCTGAGCTGGCCCCGCCCTCCAGGTGCTGCTCCTACGTGGGTCGCAGAGGAGGGGGCCCCCAGGCCATCTCCATTGGCAAGAACTGTGACAAGTTTGGCATTGTGGTCCACGAGCTGGGCCACGTCATCGGCTTCTGGCACGAGCACACAAGGCCAGACCGGGACCGCCACGTCTCCATCGTGCGCGAGAACATCCAGCCAGGTACAGTGCACCTGCTGCCCCAGCCCTGCCTCTAGGGCTGCACCTGCTGCCCGCCTCTGGGGTTCAGGACCCACCACAGGCACCTGCTCGGGGACCCCCCTGCATCAGTTGTGGGCTACTTGGGGGCTGGCACAGGTCCTGGGTCCAGGCTCGAGCCATACTGAGCAGCCAGAATCCCGCCAGCTTCAGGGATGGGGCTAGGCATGCATGCAGCCCCTCTGCACCTTTATGCGGTCTCCTGCACTCTGCGGATACGCGATACGGTTACCATCCTCTAAGGGTTTTTCTCCCTGCCCCTTTCTGCTCCCCGCCTTAGTCTGCCAGGCAGCCTCTACTCTTCACTTCTTCCTTCCTATCTTCCCCTGGGTCTTCCCTCCAGGAAACCCTCCATTCACTGGCTCCTGTGCTGGCCAGGACCCTAGGTTTCCTGTGGCTGCTCCCCAGGCCCTCAGGGAAGAGCCCCTTGAAGGACAGAGAGGACAGTGGCCTGCCCTGCCTCCCCCACACCCTCTTCCTGGTCTTCGCAGGGCAGGAGTATAACTTCCTGAAGATGGAGGTCCAGGAGGTGGAGTCCCTGGGAGAGACCTATGATTTTGATAGTATCATGCACTATGCCCGCAACACGTTCTCCAGGTGAGACAGGGCCTGGCCTCTCCCTGCCCTCTGGATGCCCTTCTCTTTCCACTTCCCACTTCGCCCTGAGGACAGGGGTGGCCCCCGGAGTGGCTGTGATTCCTAGGCAGAGAGCATGTGGGTACTTCCTGCCCCATGTGCTCTTCTACAGAGGTTGGTGGCAGGACCTGGGTTTTTTGCTGTGCACGCTGAGAGGACCTGTCCCAGATGCTGAAATCTAGCACTCTCTGGCCCTGCCATGTGCAGGGTCCCCAAACTCTACCAGTCAAGCAGGAGCTGAGGTTTTCTTTCATCTGTCACCAGAGGGGGCACGTTGTTCTCACTGCTTCCCCAAGGAGAGACGCCTTTCTAGTCCTCTGAGAGGGCGCTAGTCCCCAGCTCGGCAAGGGAGACACTGCCCAGGCCCGCAAGCTCTGCATTTTTGTGGTGGGTTAATTTGCACACAACCTGGCTCCTGTTCTGGCCTATCCCCAATCTCTGGCTCACAAGTCACCTCCTTAACCTGAGCCTCTTGCAAATTACAGCCAGAGCCCCCAACCTGCACCCTCCACCAGCTGCTCGGTGCCTTAGTGCAGGAGACAGCCCCTGCTTCCTCACACTCCTTTCTGGACTGGCCTCCCTGTGCCTGGCTCTTGTCTCAGCCGTGTCTCTCTCCCGGATAGTGGCCCTTCCCCCTCTGCTCAGCGCTCCTTCTAGACCCACATCCTGCTCCAGACCTGAGGGGACTGAGACCAAGGCCGGGTGGTGAGGTCACTCTGCCCACACTCCCACGGACCCTCCTGACCTTTCGCTCCACACCCAACCCTACCCCCCAGGAGCTCTGCCCAGCTGGGTGTGAGTCAGGGGCCCGGGGGAGGGGAGAGCCGCCTGCCTCCTCTTCCTCTGCTCCTCGCAGATGGAAACACCCAGCATTTCACCGGGAGGAACTGGGGACAGGGATGCTGGTGGACTGGGAGCCTCGGGGCTCTACCTCGGGTCTGGGTTGGCCACGGTGGAACCTGCGCTTGCCCTTTGGCCTGGCTCCAGGTGCTGCCAGACGCCACCCTGTCGGCAGGGTGAAGACTGACTGGGGACATCCGGGGAGAGTTCATCAGGGCTGAATCAGCAAGAGGGGTGCAGGAGCAGGCACTGGGTGGGGCCAGCGGAGCTGGGGCCCCTGCCTTCCAGAACATCCCTGGGGCTCCCTCAGCTCCTGAGGCCTGGCTGCCACGGGGGCAGAGTGGCTGCTGGTCAGTGGGCAGCATAATGACAGGGTTCGACGTCTCCACCCGTCACTGACCCTGCCGAGGAATGTCTGGGCTCTAGTGAGGTCGCGACCTGTGGGTGCAGACAGATGCAGCCCCCTCCCTCCTGGCCCACCTTGTCTCCAGACTTGGCCCTACTCTCCTCATCTTCCTCAGGGGCATCTTTCTGGACACCATTGTCCCCAAGTATGAGGTGAACGGGGTGAAACCTCCCATCGGCCAAAGGACCCGGCTCAGCAAGGGGGACATTGCCCAGGCCCGCAAGCTCTACAAGTGCCCAGGTCGGAGCAGGAAGGGACAGGCCGGGAGGGGAGGAGAGTAGGCTAAGGGAGGCAGAAGGCAGGACCTGAGGCCATCATAGAGGTCACAGCTCCGAGTCTGTGGGGATGGATTCCAAGCAAGAGGCCGGGTCTCAGTGAAGGGCTGACCAGGAGCTGGGCCTAGGTGGTGCTGAGAAGCAGAACCGCCTACCTAGAGGGCCTGGGAGGCTGAGAGGTGGGTGGCAGGCGCAGCATGGGGAGGAGAGAGCCATTTGAGGGGGATGAGAAGGAACTGAGGTCCACCACAGGAGTCTGACCCTAACTCTGGATCCCACATTGCCTTGACAACAGGGCATCCTGTTACCCTGGCAGCACTAGGCCCAGAGAGATAGGAGGGGGTGGATCTTAAAGGGACAGGACCAGCGCTCCTCAACCCTTCCTCTCTCCTCCAGGGCCCAGGGGTGGATGAGCCAGGAGGTGGGGGGATTTGGCACCCACAGCCAGCTGCCCAGTCATTTCCTTTCTTTGACAGCCTGCGGAGAGACCTTACAAGACAGCACAGGCAACTTCTCTTCCCCCGAGTACCCCAACGGCTATTCTGCTCACATGCATTGCATCTGGCGCATCTCGGTCACACCTGGGGAGAAGGTAACCTCGGGCGTGGGGAAGAGCAGTCTCCTCCCGGAGCCCAGCTCAGGGACTTCTGCTGCGAGGGTGTGACCTGTCTGAGGTGGTAAAGGCATCAGGCCCACGGTGAGCAGGGCTTCTGCCAGTCCCAGCCCCCACAGCTCTCAGCAATCATGAATCAGCACCGATTGCAGATAGTGCTATGTGCACTTCTATTGTTTAGTTCTTCTTGAGTGCTTTTCTAAGTGGTCATCATGTAGTGCCTCTTTTTAATCTATTGGACACCCTTTGTCTTCAATTTATAGAGGATAGAACTAAGGCACAGGGAGGTCAAGTAACTTGCCCAAGATCACACAGCTAATAAGGACTGAGGTGGGATTTGAACCCTTCCTGGGGCTAGGTTCCATCCAGCTTTGTCTTTGGTGGCCTGAGTGGCCTTGGGGAAACTGCTCAGCCCCAGCTCTGGGCCTTCTCATCCATCTCATCAGGGCCAGGGGCTCCAGAAGGGTCCTTCCCAGCTCTGCCGAGCTCTAGTCCTGGGAACAATTAAGGAACGAGGCAGATGCTCCGGTAGGTGCCTCCCGGCTCGTAGCTCCTTCCCTCTTTTCCTTTTCCCACCTGGGCTGGGACCCCCCCCCCCATGTGGCCCCAGGGGGCTGATTCTGTGAGCCTGCTGCCTCTTGCTGGCTCTTCACTTCCCCTCTCTCCACCTGTCGCCTTCAGATCAGTCCAGATGCGGAGAGAGGAATCTCAGCCCTCCTTCCCTCTCCCCTTGGGCAAGCTCTCACCCCCACACTCACTGCCCCTGGGCGTCTGGCTTCCAGGCAGCCCGGGAAGTGGGTCAGAAGTGTCTTCATCTTCTTGGGCTGCTCAGACAGGACCTCCTCCAGGAGGCCTGTTCTCCCTGCTACTCCTGCGGGCAGGGGTTGGGGGGAGGGCACACCATGTGCTGGAAGGACCCAGAGCCTGTGTGATGCAAAGCCCCCTTGCATGGTTGCTTAGCTTTCCCCTGCATGGTTGTTTAGCCTTGTTTGAATACCTGAGCTGATGAGGGGCTCACTACTTCTCAGAATATTTCATTCTGGGGCCAGATTACACCTGTAATCCCAACAGTCCGGCAGACTGACGTAGAAGGATCACAAGTTTGAGCCCTACCTGGGTGACTTAATGACTTAGTGAGACCTTGTCTCAAAGTAAGAAATAAAAAAGGCTTGGAATGTAGCTTGGTGCAAAGGCCCTAGATTCAATCCCCATATCACACACACACGCATGTGTACGTGCACACACACATATACACACGCAAAAAATAAAGAAAAAGAAAAAAATTTTCCAATTTGTTCTCTAGCCAGATCTTAGTGTTACAAAGTCTCTTTTTTTTTGTCTTTCCTTCTGGTACCAAGAATCGAACTCACAACCTTGTGTTTACCAGGCAGGCGCTTTGCCGCTGAGCTTAATCCCCAGCCCCACAAAATCTTTTCTTGATAGAGAGGGAAACACTGTCCCTGAGACCTCGCTGTCCTCCCCTGCAGAGTAATGCATTGTAACACACCTGCCTGCCCCCCAGTCAACCCACTCTTCCAGCCTGGGAGGCCTCTCTCCTGCCTTCTTCAGTCCTGGCAAAGGGCACCTTCCATGCCTTTCATACTTGTATTGTTCCCAAGGCTGAGCTAGGAAGCTTTCTTTCCCTTGAGTGGAATGTGGTCTTTACTGTCCTGAGGCAGCCACTAGCTAGTTTGCTAGTCTTACTGGTTGCAGCATCCATTCTAGCAGGTCGCTCTCAGAATGCTGTGACACGGACTTCTGTCATCCAGCAGGTGGCCACCAGGCACATTTAATAAGCATGTCTTCTGGGTCTCTGCCCTGGTCTTCGGTCAAAACGTTGAACAGGTCACAGACCAAAGCAGATCCACGGTCTTTCTCCAAACTTCCATCTATCCGTTAATGTGCAGGTTTCCACTGGCTGTGGTGCCACTTAATGTCGTCACCCTCTAGCCACAGGTCTCCGCTGGTCCTTCGTCATCTTTCTTTCCTTGGCACCGGAAGTGGTTTATACATGCTGACTACACATTTGGAATGCCTTACCCAACCAATCCACTGTTTCTCACATTGCTAGCTGCCCTCCTTTATCTGTGGTGCTGGGGGTTGAACGCAGAGCCCTGCACATGCTAGGCCCCTAGCCCCCATTAAACCTCTTTAAAATGGAAGAGAAATGGGTCTGATGGGCTTGTTCTAAGTGACCCTGAACAGGGTCCCTGTGATCCAGGGCTTCTTCTCCAAAGGTCACAGACCGTGTGTTTAGTTGGGGATTGTTGTTCATCTCGGTGGTTTCCAGTTCCCAGAATCCACTCCTCTTCCCCTCCCAACTTGCACACAGGCATACGTATCTTGCTTAAAAATTGGGAAAGCTTTTGCACTGGGTTCTCAGGATTACACACACTGATCACATCTGCAAGTTATTTGACTGCCCTCTGATGTCATGTATGAGCCTGGAGACAAAAACCAACTTAGAGAGATGCTCAGTGACTCTTCTGTCCCATTGAGCAGCTTCCGTTTCCTTTCCAAACAATGCTTATTTTTATGTTTTTGCAATCTGAAGATGATTCTCACATGTGACAGATGTACTGAGACAGGAGTAATTCTGTCATCTCTCTCAGCTGCATTTTACTGTCTTCCCTCAAAAGTGAACCCAGCCCTTCTGTTCTTCTTGTTCCAAGTCTTACTTAAACTTACAGTCTTTTGCTGATTTGAATGGGCTGAGTTCTGGCCACCTCATCCCTCTCCCAAGAGTCCCCGCTATTCTGGCTTTTGGAAATTCACTCACAGTTAATAATAACAAATATTCAGCGCATGATTGGCCAGGCCTGTGTTCAATTTGTTATGTGTGTTTTTGTTTTTGTTTTGTTTTGTTTTTTCTGCTAGGGATCAAACCCAGGGTCTGACACATTAGGCAAGAGCTCTACCTCTGAGCTATACCCCCAGCCTCACCCCACTTTGTGTGAAATATTATTTTGAGACAAGCTCTCACTAAGTTTTGCAGGCTAGACTCCAGCTTGCAATCCTCCTGCCTCAGCCTTGGGAGTAGCAAGGATCACACGCGTGTGTCACCATGCACAGCTTGTTTTGGCTTTAATTATCATAGATGATGGTGCGCATGTCTAGTTGCAGTACAGTGGTGCTGTAAAGCCTTGTGGTATCTCAGCAATGCCTTTGGTGCTCATTAGCAAACCGTGTGCCCCACAGTGGGCAAGGCGTGGGGACAAGCAGATGCCCAAACACAGTCCTGGCTCCGAGGAGCAGAGGCAGGTGGAGGGTCGTGCTTTCCTGTTCAGGAGTTTGGCTCAGTCAGCAGGGTAAAGCAGCCTGGTCAGGACCAACTCCCTTCCCATTATTCCTGATCGCATGGGCTGCCCGTGTCTCTCTAGTAGATGCACAGCCCTGCCCAGGCACCTCTCTCTCTTTTGGACCTGCTTCCTCCATAATTCCAACAAGATGCCCATCTTTTTTCAGAGCCTGCCCAGAGCTCCAAGGGGAGAAGTAGAGATAAGAATTCCAGACTAATCAATGCAAGGTTGTAGAAATGTATTGGGTAAACACTGGTGAAGTTGTAAGTGAACCTAAGATGACACCTGGGGACATTTGCATTGAAAGGGTCTGCAGAGGTTGGGGAGGCTAGTGGCATAGAATAATACTACTTCTTTAGGTTGTTATTCTTCTGAATCTTGCTTAAAAATTACAATCTTCTGGACTTGGTGGCACACGCCTGTAATCCCTGCACTCCGGGAGGCAGAGGCAGGAGGATTGCCATGAGTTTGAGGCCAGCCTGGACTTCATAGTGAATTGAAGTCCAGCCTGGACTACATACCAGGACCTTGTCTCAAAAAAAAAAAATACAATCTTAGTGTAACATGGTGGCCCACACCTGTAATCCCAGCTGTTTGGGAGGCAGAGGCAAGAGGATTGCAAGTTTGAGCCCAGCCTGGGCAATTTAGTGATTTAGCGAGATCCTGTTTCAAACTTTAAAAAAAGCTGGAGATATAGATCAGTAGTAAAGTCCTTGCCAAGCATGTGTGAGATCCTGGCTTTAATCCCTAGCACTGCGAAAAAATAAAGATAAAAGCAATCTTTGTGCCATTTTGAACTGACTGTGCCCTAGCTTGGTTATTATAACAATTTTGTGCTAGGGAAATTATTAGACATTTTAGGGATAAATGTTTTTCATTTCCCACAACAGTTTCACAAGCTAGGAGGAAATTGAGACTCAAAATGCTGAGATGGCCAGCTATGGTGGTGTACACCTATAGTTTCAGCACTTGGAAGGCTGAGGCAGGAGGGTCGACATGAGTTTGAGGCCAGTCTGAAATATATAGTGAGTTTAAGGCTAGCCTGAACTAAAAAGCGAGACCCCGTCTCAAAGGAAAAAAAAAATGCTGGGATGAACCTGCTCAGGTTTACACAGATAGTAGCAGTAGGACCAGCATTTAGTTCTAGATTATCTGACGCCAAAGTCTGTGATCTTTCAAAAGTAAACCTTAAATAGGTAACTGCTTTAGTGGCTGGACTTTGACGCCTATTTTGGCTGCCGGTAGGTTGTTTTTCTGTACTCACTTCCCACTGCTTAGCTTATTGCCAGCAATGTGAATGGTAGGTGACTCTTACACAATTATGCATGTCGTGAGTGTGTCAAGCACAAGAAAGAGGCCCTTGGCAAGCCTTTTTTGTGTTTGTTTTGAGAAGGTCTCTCTGTGTAGTTCAGGTTGGCCTTGAACTCACTATGGAGTCCAGACTGGCCTTGAACTTGCAGTGATCTTCCTGCCTCAGACTCCCAAGTGCTGGGATTACAGGTGTGCACCACCAGGCCTAACTTGAAAGTCTTCTTTTAGGATCCTCAAGTGTCCACTGATGTAATTAACCGTGGACCCTCAGTACTCGCAGTGGTTCCTAGGCAACAAAGCAAAGTCTTTAGGAGGAAGAGTGTTTTGAGGAGGAGCCTGTGGTTCCCAGGCAGATTTTACTGAGGAGCC